GGAATTCGCAGATGGTTGCACCTGCCCCCGCGCCATCGTTGCAACAGTCGGCGCCGTTGCAACAACGTCAGCAATTGCAACCTCAACAGCACCAACAGTTCCATTCGCGCTCCCACCCACAAGTAGCGCCACTCCAGGTGCAGCAACGGCAGCAACCGCGGGCACTGGTGCCAGGGCCCCAGCAGCAGCAGCAGCATCAGCAGCAGCAAGCTCTCTATGCATCTTCGCAACAGCAGCAGCAACAGCAGCAGCAGCAACAGCAGCAACATCAGCAGCAGCAGCAGCAGCAGCAGCAGCAACAGCAGCAGAGACATCACCCGCACCCACAGCAACTGCAGCAACAACAGCGACACAACCAGCAGCAGCCACTCCAGCATCCACAAGCACAGCATCGAGTCCCACCCCAGGGCATGCCTCAGGTAAGCCTTTTCTTTCTTCTGGGCAGGTCCTGTGGGACGTCTGGTACCCTACTCACGCGCACTTTTTCTGGGGTTTTTCCTCTTCGCTTTCGATTCTCCGATTTCCCCCCGCCTTCAGCACCAGCACGTCCGGGCGCCACAGCAACAGCGGCAGCAGCAACTCCTCCCTCTTCCAACCGCGGGCAATGCCGTCCCAGGCGGCCAGGCAACCGGCACCCCGCACGCGTCGCAACTGCCTCACGCCCAGCTCTCCCAACAACAACAACCCGCGCATTCCTTGCCCCAACGGCAGGGCCTGGGCGCGCAGCCCCTCAACCCACAGGACACTGCCTTGCGGCCCGGAATGGTCAAGAACATCATGGTCTTGCTCCAACAACGCAAACCCGCCGCCGATCCTTCCAAACCCTTGGTGGAAACTCGGTTGAAGGAGATGGCGATCCGGCTGGAGGACTACCTGTGGAAACGCTCGTCCACGTTGGCGGAGTACTCGGATCTGAGCACCCTCAAACACCGCCTGCAGTGTTTGGCAGTCTACATGGGCAAGCACCAGCAGCGGGGTCAAACTGTACCGGCGGGCGCAAGGGGCAGAGGGGGAGGGATGCCGAATCAAGCGCCCCAGCCACAGGGGGGGGG